CTTGCAATAAGAATAGAATTCTTTTTGTATCTGGGAAATTATTAACGATAAAGTAATTCTTGAGAGTGCAGTGGTCAAACAAATGGTAAGGCAAGGGGTTAATGAGACTTAGCGCAGGGGTAGAGCTTGGAATTCTGAAACCAATTGAAAACAATGACAATGACCATTCTGAAAACAATGACATTTATTTCAACCACATCGATGTTTCACTGTGTACGCCTGGATGCCCACATATATCCATATAGTTTTCCAGAAAATAGACGTTGGAGATTGTTTCGGTCGCGGAGAGATCGCGCGCATGTATCCAGCCTGAACAAGTGAAAGCGCGCTCCGGGGTTCGCGAAAAAGTTTATCGAGAGTGAAATTAACGCAAGAGGCGTGGCTGCCCCCGTGTGTACTTACTGTGATAAAAGAGATCTCGATCGCCTATATTCTCGGGGAATATTCATCTTTTCGTGAAAATTCCACGGTGCGTATTCCGTTCGAGAACTCCTCCCTGGTTCGAACGCACGAAAGTACAGACATATCTGAATCGGGACCAATCTAAGAATCGAATCAAAAGAAATTCAACTCGAGGCTCGGGGATTTTTTTTATCGTCGATAACGAGCCACGGAACTTCTCGTGTTGTCGAATAATGGGAGTTAGACCGAGGCACGCTCGCGAGCATTCAACAGGGCCCGCAATTTTCCCCGTCGATTCCGTATCGGGGCTAGATCCAATGCCGTTTTCACCGCCGCCGTCCGATTTTTTTCACCCCGGGGATCTCTAACTACTGTTTCACGGCACAGTGTATCGCGTTACCCCGGATCGGTGTGTAACTTTATAACACGACCGGGACTATTTTCCCTACCTCGAGAGACGTAGACCGCAATGTTATTACTACTGAGGCGGGAGAGCAAACACACACGCGATTCCGACGGTTCTCCTCGCGGGCTACGAACACGACGTATTTCCATCGTGGTACGGAGGTACGTAGAAAATCGGTGGCCAAGTCGCGAGCACGCGATTTACTGTAGAAATCGATTCACGAACCGGAGAGTTTCACTAAGTACGGTAGACATTCGTTTATTGGATCTTTCGCGGTTATAAAGAGCCAAATATCCAGGAATTATGGAATACAGACTCCTGTCGATTATCGTCCCGAACTCGGGTCCGCTCCTGGACAATAATCTTAGAGGGAGAAAATTGTTTCAGACCCTCCCAAATTCGTCTTTTATCCGAAGCCTGAGCCTCGGCAACAAAAGCGGAGGGACAACAAAAGTATACGCTTGACAGATTCCACGCCTTCCTCCTCCCAGTAGTGGGCATAATACCTGGACAATAATCGTGTAGAACAAGCCAGACGTTATAAAATTTTTCGTAATATTTAATATTGCAGTATAACACTGCTCTATTAATAAAACGCATACATTTTCAACGATTTATGACTTTAAAAACAAAATAAAGCGTGTCTGGCTACGTACAGCCTTTTTCACTGTGACAGTCGATGTGCTAATATTTTTGCCCCTCCCTCTGATTGATAACCTGGCTACGCTTATGCGCGAGACATCGCGTAATTGGAAGCTGACGTTTCTATAAATTCACGTTCTCTGATATCGTTACGATTCCATCGGGTTAACACGCCTTACCCGCTGGCTCGCAATTATTACCTTGGAAACCTACTAATCTCGCGAGCCGCATCCGCGAAGATCCGAGCGCGTTTCTACACGAGAATCAGAATGGGGATGACTCGGAAAGCTTCAGCTGGTAGTTAACAACCGTGTATTAAACCTCGAAACTGATGTTTCTATGCTCTGAATAATAGAGAAATTAAGATACATGAATAGTAAATCGTTGCTGAGTTCGTTGTAGATTAATTTTCAAAGGACCAGTAAGTGAATCTATCGGATTGACAAAAATACTTATTTAATAAATAAGTAGGATCTCGATACCTGGAGAATTTGGGCAATTTAAAAAGATTACCGTCTATTAAACACTTCACTTGGTCCTTGTGAATCTCCTATGGCCTGGCCAGACCAAGTTACATATACCTTGAAGGAAAAAATCCCCTGGACGAAATTTTGCAAACCACTTTCGACACTCGTATCGTTCGATAACATCCTACCTGCACAGAACTTTTTATAGCTTCGCGTCGCAGTTTTGCCTTTTTTAAAAAAAATCGAACAGCAATATATACTGAAAATACTCCATATGGATGTCCATCATTAGTTACACAAAAATTATAAAACACACCCGATCTTCAAACCTTTTTTGATTAACATGTACGTACAGTGTTAAATGTTAACTATCAGTAACCATGTACTTTCAAGGTACGAATTAAAGTTAGCTGGGTTTCAAAACGCCCGAATACTATCGCTAAAAACCGCAAGCTACATTTCGACCAACCCGATAAAACGATTCTGCCTAAGCTGCTTCGAAATCGGTAGCCCGTTTCGTCTGTACAACCCTGTAGAGCGAACGGTGATTCAACTGCTTCTTCTTTTAACCATGAATGGTATTGCATTGTTCCACGCTACCGTACAATGCATACGCCCGAACACCCGCGCGCAAGCCAACACGCGGCATAGGCCAGAATTCTGCAGAAGTGGCTGTCTATGTGTCTCTTTTACTGCGCACAATGTTCGTGACTGGTTTTATCGCCGGCGGGCCCTTCGTACCTCGCCACAACGACGTTACACACACATATACATATATACAATATATATATATACACACATAGGGTCATTTGTGGCCGTACTCCAACCGAGAGATGCACGTTTTATGCGCGCGTGCGTCGGCTTTTGTGTGTCCTCGGCAACGATCATTTCGCGGGCCACAAATCACCGAAGCCAGTTACCCTAAATTTTGGTCTGGCCGCACGGAATTGCGCAATCGCCCATGCCAACGACTGCTCGAATCGACATAACGTGCCTAACATTCTGCCGTTCTTTTTTTCCTTTTCGACACACGTTCCGCGCCACGTGAGTCTGGCACAGGTGACACCGACGATACATTTATAACGAGGCGAAACATGAAAGGAAAAACCCGACATGTTCCTGGGAAACGGAGATTGTAAAGAATTCAATGACACCGACAGCTTTACGAGCTTCCCGTATCGACTACATACTATGACGAGTAGATACACCTGACAGGTCGATACGAGTCATTTGGATTTTACAAATGATACGTACAGGGCACTGAACGGCAAGATTGAAGCTCGGTAGATTTCTATTTTTTTTTCCAGGGGGAGGGGGTAATCTCTGCAGATACTCGAGCGATTGAATCAGCGATCGGTTAAGTATTCCAGTCACACGACGAACACACAGCGATCGTACCTCTCTGTTTAAGCTTCGCCGACGGTCTGACCATGACCGTCAAGAACTACTGACACACCACGCGATCATATTGAATCCACGCACACGGCCGTCGATGACTACTACAGTTCCAAGGTACGCTATATGATTTCCACTGAATTTTTTAAAGAAAAACTATTGAACTTATCAATTTGAATAATACATGTATTAAAAACAATGTATTTTTTAAAAGTTACAGTTCGTTTGTGAGAGCGTCTTAACGAAATTTCCTTTCCATGGCGGCCATAGTCTAGACTCTTGTGGTTGTGTGAAATAAAAAAAAACAAATATTTTCTTAATTTGTATGTGTGTGGCTATAACCCGTACCATAATGATTTAAAAAATTTGAGAAATACAAAAATGGCGCCTTCCCAAACAAAAGGTTTACTTTATTTGCATAAAAATGGCTGGTTTTTTAGCCTACAAATTTGTAATTTTTAATGTATCGAAAAACTCGTGCTACGGGCTAGAATGACACATCTGATGGACGGATATACCAAGTTTGAATTAAATCGGACAATTAGTTTTTAAATTATCATGGCCGTCGATTAAGAAAAAGTAGCTGCGAGAAAAACGCGATCAAAGTTTCAAGTACTGTTTCATAGCATAAAAAGAGCAGTGTTTCATACTTACAGCTAATCACCTATTCCTCAAAAAATTGTTGCAAATTGCAAAAAAGAAAAATCCGAAACCGTCACACTAGCATAGTCCCTTAAAGCACGTCAAAGAGTCTCGAGGCGGAGACAGAGAGAGAGAAAAAGAGAGTGAAAGAGATCGCGAGAACGGGCGGTGTTTGCGGTTCCATGGCGGACGTGGACCGAGATAACGCGTGAAAATAGTACACCAGCGAACGATAACACGCATTTAGAACATATCTGGCAGCAGCCCGTCGTTCCTCGCGAGGCGAGATATTAAATCGCGGCGAGCATTCTATAATTGCATCGAACAACGGCCTAACACCCCGTTCGTCGACGTTGCCGCGACTGTAAAGATTGTACGTACACAGGAGGGAAAACGGGAGGCTCGTATAGAGGGACGTGTTTATACCGTCGTGGGTACATGTTACCGGCGATAGAACCGACGCGTTTAATCGGCGTCGCGCCGAGGTCGTTTACACGCGTGCACGTTGTCCCAGCAATCGATCGTTCGACAGTTGTCTAAATCTTCTCAAGTAACGAAAATCTTAACTATCCGTACGAGAGACACGGCAGAAATCCCGGTCCGTACCAAAAACTAGAAATCGTAGATCTACAAGCAAAGCTCCGTCGAATCATAAATTCTTCAGGAAAGAAGAGGAAGCGTAAAATAGTCGACACTGCGGTACAACCCTCGGGTGATCCCTTTTCACCACCCTTTCCTACTTTTACTTTCCTGTCCACCACCACTCTCTATCGATTTCCTTGCTCCCTCGAGAATTTCCAACATATTTCGTAAGCAAATATAATTCACCGCAAACCAACCATATTTGATTCTCCACCTGAAATTTCAATCTCTCTTAGCTATTCGACGAGAAAATCAAAAATACTACTTGTAAACGTCAATGGAAGATATAAGTTGTTCTCTGTGCAATTGTAACTACAATAACTACAATATTCAAGTCGAATATCATCCTTTCAACTGGCACACTCGACATTAAATTCGCAAAACAATGACATTGTGATCCTTACCTAAGCAACATGGCAGAGTAACCTCACGGAGAAGATTGTCGATGCTTGAACGCTATATCGCGAGCATGCCGCTGCCAATCGGTGCTCTTCGCGGTTTCAGCTTGAACTTCTAACGGCCACCTGGAAAGAGAACATTCAATGGGCGACACGTTTGTATCGGTTCTTGGACGTAATTACACCTCCAGGTGCATCATCTCTGGGATGAGAAGGAACCGTTAGATTGCTTCTAAATCGTTCTCTTTCTAATTTCAATGTCCGAATAATTGAGAGAAGTTGTACCTGGAGGCACACTGTCGCTTATAGACTAACGCGTAACTTATAGGCTGAGTTGCAAGATAAAATTAATAATTTGAACATACCGAACGCCGATTTTAATGAAATGAAATGAATGTCGAGTTTATTAGAGTTTATGTTATGTCATGTATTTTTATGAAGCCCAAAATACACAGATTTAAAATCACAAAAACTTAACATGTACGATGGCCGATAAAAAAAATACCTGTCAAATATTTTACGGAAAACTATCTTCCATACAAATTTAATTAAAATGATCGCGTATGGGTTCGGTATGTTTCCTTGTAAGATGATAAAGTCTATCCAACGTGTATACGCTTTTAACGCAAAGTTCCATTCGTCATTCCAGTTTCGCCACTTCGAGCAACAATCGAACAGTTCCGCAGTGACTGGTTAATTACGTCAGCTTAACAAAGAACCGTCCCGAAGAAAGGAATTCCGATCGGACATCCGTTTCCCTGTCGACCATACGCGCGCGCTAAAGAAAGAACCATAGCTCTCCGTGTCTAAGAACATTAGTTATCCCCGCCCATAATTCCCAGGCGACGACGCAGGTTTACGTCGCAGATTTCGTTGAATCGTCAGTCAACAAGACAAAAAGCTTGGGACGAATTGCCTAAGGTTCTTCGTCGTCGTGGTGACGAACGCGCACGGCCTCCAGGTTGGGTAAGACCGTGCCGGGCCTTTGCCCGCGTGTTTTCCACGTGTGTAAACACACCTGCCCGGCGCGTGTCACGTTCATTTCACAGCGGCCATGCCCGCGCGCGGTGCGCTCGTAAATGTAATCGCGTCAATTAAGGCGACACTCGCACGGATTTCTAATCGGTGGTCGCGGCCCATGCGATAGAGCCCCCCCGGGGATTTATGTCAGCTGTTGGCACGCCGACGATTTTAATCGATCCGATTCACGCGAGAGGTAAAACGGCGCACGGCCAACCCGTTCCCCCTGTGTTTCGTTTCTCATACCGGTGTTTCCTCGACCTGTCGCCTTTTTCCCCCCTCTCGCTCTATCTCTCTGGCCACGGTTTATACATTTACGTAATGGCGGCGAACTAGGGATCGCGTATCGATTACACCGGCAGCTGCGTAGCCAAGACGGCTGGCCCTGAGGAAAAAGTTTCATTCCGATGGATCGATCATTATCTAGCGATCGATCAACGAGGATTATCTTGTTAACTAGCATGTACGCGGAAAGGTGTCTTCTTACAACGAAGGTGTCAGCTTCAGCGAAGGAAGAAAGAGTTTTGCAAATTGGTAATATATTGTGAATAATCACAGTGAGAATAATCTTATGGGACTTTTCTCGATATGTAATTCAGTAACCAGCCCTGGAGCGATAATTGGCTACCGAGGATCTTAATTCCCGGTGGAACCGGAACGATACCTCCGGTGTGGCCGTAACGAGTTTCGTAGCCACGCTTCGATACCAAAGGGGAATAATCGAGTCGCGGCGAGCCGGGAACACCCACATAGCGCGCACGGGGCCCTTAGTACGAGGGCAGAGAGCAATACACACGTATAGGTGATTTCGTTATTCAGACGCACCACCGTCGGCGCATCGGATAAGAGAGACAAGGCAGAGTCCAGATACAGACCTGGTGTATAGTTAATAGTTCGGTAGGGTGGTAGTGGTAGCGCGGCGAGCTGTAGGACCGGTAGGTTTGGTTCACTTCAAGTATGTTGCGGCCAGCCGGTTAGCCACTTTTCTTCTTCAGCTTCCTCCTTTTTTTCCCACCTGTACATTTTTTTCTCTTTCTTGCCTCCCTTCTTCTCTACCCTACCGCTATTTCCTCCTCGTTCATGATCTCCCCGCGATGCTCCATTCCTTTTGTTTACCCATCTTTTTAAGCGGTTTCTTCTTCCGACGGTGTTTATTTTTATTCGACGCAACGAGTATATCTATTAACATCGGTCCGGTGGATACGTTCGCATTGAAAACGCTGCTACTGGCCGTTTACTTCCGTGAGACATCAGAGATATTTATCTAGTAAGGTGGCATCGGTGTGTTCTCTTCCATCTTTTTGTTTCGCTGGTACGGGAGGGAACGAAAAGGGACGAAAGACGACGGGGGCCCAGGAATTACTCGTCAGCCGCGGAACGACGGGACGGTGGGAACGGCAAAGAAAATCTAGCGATGAGCCTGCTCTTTGTGGATACCGACACGACTTTGATAGAGGCGTGTTCACCTCGACAACCTACCATCAGGGTGAATAAGCATATCTTTATGAGATCTGGACAAACCGCGAACCTCTTCTACCAGTACGCGGTGTTTTCTGCATTCGCAAACACGGGACAAACCTCGGAATATCTCTTAACAGTGTTAAATAAGTCGAAAACAGGGGAAGCGACAACGGAGTTGCCAGGAAATCTGGACTTTTCGTGGATCACGGAAAAAGACAGACCGCGAGTTTCAACCCGTGGACGGTGAATATTGTTGTTTCCAGTACAATCAGAATGATGGAAAATTCTCTGTCACGAGGGAGGCTCTAGCGGTCACGGTCCGGTAAGATCACGTCAAATCAGAGGTCTTTATCAATCACACGTAATCTAATGAGAGAGATACAGTCTAAATTCAGATTGATCGTGAACGGACTGTACCTTCGACTAGTATGAAGCTGGCTAAAAACGGTACCGAACATTCACACCTGATCGAACGATAAGAAAAAACCGTGTTAATCAAAGAGCGTGTCGCGGGAGATCGACGAACGCGCGGCTTCCCGGCATGTAAACGTATCAATCGTGAACCGTGCGTTCCGTCGAAGCGACGAGAAACACTACATGTCAGAATCTCCATCGTCGGGACAATATCCATTATTATATTACATCATTGCGTAATCGACGTTTACGGTTTTATGGGACTGGCCTCGTCGCGCGGCTATACACCGCCGCCGCGCCGTGTACACCGCGGTGTCCTAACAAACTCGGAATCGGAATTGCTCGGACGATCCCGTGCACGCTCGGATTCCGCTTGCTCGGCCGCCACGGGCTCTGGCCAGACATGCTGGCAGCGGCCAGGATTTCCCGGTATTCGTGCAGAGTCGAACGGTGAGTACGTGAAAGGGAAGAAAAGCGGCGTGTTTCCCCTCTCCCCGGACGCTCGCGATCCTCGCGATGGATCGAGGAGACTCTTCGGCTCGGTGTCCGCCGCCCGGAGCCAGATGCGTGGAGCTACCGCGCGCTGCTGCTCGGTTCCAAAACCGACGCAGACGCGCCAAAACGTCTGTCCCTGGGGGCATTGGCAATAATTTCGAAGTCAGCAATTAGAGGAGCTTTGATCTTCGTCTAACTTCGGTCTGGCGAGTAGAGAATTAATGGATCGTTTCCTTCCCGTGAACTCTCGGTCCTTTAAATTTCCACCGCCAGCCCACCTGGTGTTGGCTAGTTAACGACGAGGCGGTGGGTTCTTTCAGAAATTTCCCATACCTCCGACGAATCCTCGCTTCCCCAATCGGTTCCCGATATAAACCCTCGCCGGCCGGACAGAAGAAGACCAAACAGGGGGGTTTAAGCCCATTTCGCAGGGGGGAACTGGTTCTAACGGAGTTTTATGCCGCGGCTGTGGACCAGTTTTGCGGCCGTCAATGAAGCGCACTGTACACCATCGGCGAGTGCATTTCAACGGCGTGGAAGGAGAGGGGGTGGCGGCGGCGGTGGTTGTGGTTGACGACGGGAGGGGAAGGGAGGCTGGTTGCACGCGGTGCACATTGCCCAGAGTGCCGAGAACCAGTCATTGGCCGATCGGCCAATCGCGTCACGGACCAAAAGAAGACGACCGCCGGTCGCTCGTTTCGAATGGTTCGCCATAAGTCGATTCCGTGCGACGATCTCTCCTCTCTTGTCCCCCGTCACTGGACTCGTTCTATCTCCCTCGTTCCCTCCCTTGCTCACTTTGTCCTCTCTTTCTTGTCCTCTTCTTATCGTGTATGCACCACACACGTGTCCACACATGCGCTCGCGCGATTCTCCGCTGCCTCTTCTCCTTCACCCCTTCTATCATCCCCCCCCCTTCGCGCTAGCCCCTCGTTCTCTTCTTTTTCTCCGATCGTATCTCTTTTTCTCTCCCTCTCTATCTTGGGCCCGACCGTCTCTCTCCCCTTCTGTCACTCCGCTTCTTTGTCTTTCCTCGTCGCTCGTTCCCAAGCGCGGCGGTGTGCTCGTCGTCTCTTTTCATTTGGTCTCTCTCCTCATTGCAAAGTGCCGTAATATTCTCCTGCCCGAAGTTATTTTCGTCGCGCGTTCTCGCCCAACCACACAGCTCTCCCGAGGCGGCGGCATTGCACGAGGTTGTTCTCTCCGGCCGCGCGCATTGTCTCTCGGGGCCCCCCTTGCCCGGAGTATAACTGGATTTCCAGGCTAGCAAGGCGATCGCCGCCGATACCGTCGATCTTCCCACTTTGCCTTTGTTTCGCCTCCTTTCGCGCCCCCTGCACCCCGCCCCACCTTTCCTTCGCGACGGATCGCCCTTTTTAGTCCGGGACAAAGAAAAGGTATACCATATATCCGCTCGGAGGAAGAGGTGGTCCAAGGCGTCTCGTGAATTTAGCGGGAAATCTTTTGAGATTAACCTTTTAGCATCAACGGTATTTGCGCCATATTTATTTAGACTACATCTAAAAAAACATAGAATCCAGTATTATCTCTAACTTGGGACAATTTCTGGGACGTGTCCTAGTTAAAAAATGTCGAAATAAGACGCCTCGTAAGTTTAGGAAATGTGCGAGTTCGAATAGACACGAAGCTGTTCAACGAATCCGTCGACGATATGCCTGTCGACGATGTAAGGCGGTCGTGAGCGGCTCTCGGTAAACCACAGTGCCGCTTTTAGACTCGTTAAATACATCTGCAGATCGTTAATCGGGGCCCCTGAATGAAAGGAACATCATGATCAACCGAGACAACCGTGCTCGTAATCTCGTGCACGGGTGAAGTGTACCGCGGGGCTCCGCTTGTGTGTGTGTGCGTTTGTGTGCCTGCGCGCATGTGTGAGTGGCACTCGTTACTTAATGCTTACTTATGTCGGCGCATTACTCGTTAGTCATTACTCAACCACCCTTTTGCCGCTCAACGCGGCGGCGGCACTTCGATATTCTTCGGATCACGCGAGCCGCCGAACCGAAAATTAAAGGCACACACACCCCGTGCTGTTACTCGTTAAACCGAGGATATTTAATGCGCTACGCATGTGGATTTTCTGTCTAATTTTCCGATAGTATTTCAATTGCCTGCCCAGGCCATTCGTGTGACGAATTATTAATTACGAAGCTGTAACTTAATAAAAATCGTAAAGAAAGAAATTCCACGAAAATCGTTTTCCTGTTCCCCTGCATTATTTTCTGCGACCATAATTCCGTTGACGTTCCTAAATCCGTTTCCATCAGATTATCGGCGGGAAGAAAATCGCTCGACGTCGAAATTATGTTCGAAGCGAACACGTCCGCTCGCGGATTACACGGCTGCGCGCTCTACCCGAGCAGTGTACACGAAACGTGTGAATATTAAGTGACTATAGTATTGCATAACGCGACCGCGACGTCGTTTGATAATGATAAAACTATTTTTACGGTATGCCTGGGTGCGCGGTGCTTTTTCACATTCACCCGTCTCGATTTACATCCGTCTTCGTGCTCGGATAACGAATTAATTGTGAACCACCGGTCCCATTGAAAGGTATCAATTTGTTTCTCGTGCAGAAAGAAAAAGCCGGCGAAATAAGTGCTAATCGAAGCGAGACCAATGTGGCCTAAGCCTAACACGAATACGAGTATATGATTCACCTCTGATCGTACACCAATAAGAAAAAAAAATCTTTCGTCTGAATAAGCTAAAACTGTCCACAATAATACTGCTTTATAACTGATTCGATAAAAAAAACCGTATTGTCCGAACTGGCTGTAATCTTGAAAGAAACGAAACCGTGCAATCATGATCGCTTACATCATCGTACGTTTTATTAAATTCCCTTCCTCCCTCGCGGAACGGCCATACAGAGGGCAATCGCGTAATTTCAGAGCTCGCGCGAAGCATGTAGTGGTAATTACTGGCGATTAAGCCACGGGAACACTTAACTGATTAATTAGAAAGCACGATTTTTCCTTCGTTCCGTGATCGCGCGTCCACCCGAAAAAAAAAACGATTGCTTTTCTTTCGATTCCGTCGAAGATACATCCCACACGATTATCGATTATCGATTCATCCGGCTAATCGATCACGTCGTGCGTTATTTAAATTTCTTGCTCGTTTTTTCCCCCGAGAAAATATCGCCAACGAGAAGAACCGCGTCACCACTGCCGATATAAATCCCATGGCGACGGCAGCATACCGATGCGTTCGACGCGAAAGTACACAAAACCACGGTGGATCACGGTGAAACGAAAGCAGTCCCATTATATTAAATTGCCTGCATTAATTGCTATAGATGGATCGTAGATCGTGCGTGTTCACAGCGCCGCTAACCGTGGCGATCGAGGAAACCACGGGGCCGAAGCGTAGCGGTTCTTCCCCCTCTACTTCGAGATTTATTGCCTCCGCAAGCAATTTACGCGCGTGTATCCTAAACTGAAATTATGCAAAACAGTCGCAGCAGCCGCACGACAACTGGTATTTTTAATCGGGTCGGGTACCATTAGAAAACATCGACACCAGACCGCGCGCGAACGCCTGTTCTGTCAGTCAGGTTACGCCTGGCAGTTATATTATTCCACGTCTTCGCGCGGGGACCGAGTCGCCCGCGAGCTTTAATAAAGTTGTAAACAACCTTTCGAAGTATGTAGTGTCGCGGCGTCTCCGCCACGGTTTATTTCACCTTTGTTATTACAGCGACTCCACGTTTTTTTTTTTTTTTTCATCTCGATTAATTCTCACGGCTGCCACGGGGTCCCCCTAGACGACACGCGCGACTCATTTTTCTGTCGCTTCTTTTTTTCCTCATTTTAAATTCATTCGACGGGGGATCGCGTTCCGCGAGTGAATAAAAACTAATTCGCGTTGAAAAGAACTGGTTCCTCGGAGAGACGAATGCAAATGGGGCGCGTATTAAATACGGTTCTTCGGCTCGAAGAGCGGAAAATACTGGTAAGTTCCCAAGGTCCGAGGAGGAGTTCTTTTTACGACTCGTTATTTTCGGAACGAGCGTGGCGACGCACGCCAGGGGGCCACCTGTTTCTTCTCAACGGCTAACAATGTTGCTGGTGAATAGTGGTATAACACGGTCAACAAAGAGGTTAAGCATCGACGTTCGAAATAATTAAGTTCATTAAATGTCTTTCCCTCTCTCTTCCTCCCTCTGCCGGGCACGGTCGTTCCACCGAGACGCTTTTGAACGGCGCGCATGATGAAAAGCTATTGTTTGGTCACCGGCCACGCGAGCCCGGCCATTTCTCTCTCCTGGACAATATTTATCGTGGGCAACCTTTGCTCCCGTGGCTTCGAGCGAATTTTATTTTCTCGGATTACGAGCGTACACCACGATGACGCTCTAAATGTGTACGACGGCCCGCGAATCGTTTTGCTTTTTTCTTTCTCTGTCAATCCCAGACACGATACGCGTTTCACGGTTTCCGGCGGAATAATTCCCGTTCCTTTTTCTTTTTTCTTTACCTCAGTAGAACTTGAAAGTTACGAAAAACGTGTTTTCGTCTATGAAATAATCGGTCGACAAACTAATTCATTTCCATTCCCCCGTCTGTTTCGATACTCTGGTATTTTGTGGCGAAAGAATGTATCGATGCGAATACGAGGTATGTACGTGAGCTCCCGCTGGTATTATATTTCGTGGCCATTTACATTTTTGTTAATTCATGATACGATAGACGTCTAACAGCGTTGCTCACTGATAAGACTGCAAGAACACAAGTTCCTGACGTATCCCGGAAGGTACCGACGATGAGTCAGCTAAGTCACGGAAAGCCGCGCGATCTTGCGCCATGTGTACGAGTGTTCGAAAAAATTAAACTTATTAGAGCTGACAAACAACGAAAACGAAAAAGAACAATTTACGAGATCAGAAAAAAAATATAGACCATGTTATTCGGCACGTTTGAATTCCTTACTTTAAATCAATCTGTAAATCCCACGAAAATAGATGTGTAGATTGAAAATATGTAAATTCTTTAAAAAAAAAAAAAACAGTTTTAGCACGAAACACGTCGAAGACCATGCGCGCGAATACGTACGTATGTACGTGCTACGATTCCGTTCGCCGTGGATTCGTCTCGCGGGGAAAAAAGTTCGCTGGAAATTTTCCTCTACGTTCTCTTATCTGCTCGTTAAGTAAACTGTTAACGGTTAGAGCACCGTGGACCCTGGCACGATACACCAGACGTCGTCGCTCTAGTAATTTCTCGGGATCCGAGGTACATACGGCCGCGAGCCTCGCTTCGTTTGCTTTTATACGTCAGAGATTCGTGTATCAGAGCCAAGCGACGAAAATACGACGCCGCTTCGATACGCCGATTGCCGCGAGAGCAAATAATACAGCAGACGGTGCTCCCATTCAAAAGTGTTCCATCGCAAGTGGTCCTTTCCGCGAGCGAGAACACGCACGTTTCCGGTAACATTACCGACACACACACACACACACACACGCGTAAAATCTACTATGTATGTATATAACTATGTTCCGCTTGTAAACGGTGTATCTTTACTAACAAAAGGAACAAAAAAAAAAACAACATAATGAACATAAGTAACGATGCCATTCAAAACGAGCAAAGTTACGAACAGATACGCTACTCTAATTTCCCATGAAGCATGAGACGCAGAAGAAACGTCAACAACGCGGCGGCTGGTTCCGGAAATACACGGGCAGGATCGACGCCGCGGTCGCGCGGTGACAAAGAAATTCGAGATTTCCATCACAACGCGCGAGTCACGCGTCGTCGAAAAATTCGTGTGTGTAGCATCGGCGAGCGGCCGCGTCGCGATGCACTTTACCCGGCTTTCGCGGTCACTATCTTCGTCTCGAGCGCTGTTGTTCCGCGCGTGTATAATACGTAAAGAGATTCGACACGCGCCCTTCTTATCGCGGAGGAATCGACCTCTTCGTCCGCCGTCATCTTCGCTCTCTTTCTTTCCCGCCCCCCAACCCCCCCTTCTCTAACAATCCACGATACGTGTGTATCGAGTGACACTTGAGAATTTTTGTCAGAGTAACTTCCTTGGGTCAACTGGCGTACGTCCAATCGTTTACTCTGGCAAACACTCGCTAGAGACCGTCATCCTATTCGCTCGTGTGTACCACGCAACTATTCCCGCCGGTTCTCTCTCGGGAAAGAGCGAGCGTTGCGCGCCGACCATCGACGGACGCTTGCTTCGATCGTAAGAGAGAAAGAAACACAGCGAACGAGCAAGCAAGCGAGAAAGAGAGAAAGAGAACAAGGGGGAAGAGAGAGTGAGAACGGAGGAAAGGGAGGAAGAACACAGAGGAAAGCAAGGAATGAAGAGAGGGTGGAGGGGGGGGGGCAGTGTACACGGGGCGCACACGGTTCTCTGTTACCTGCGACTCGTGGCCGTGTCCAGCATGGTAATCCAATCCCTTGGATGGGGGGCTACCTCGTCATCCCTGCGGGTCTCTGGTTGACCGATCGCGAAAAGTCGAGGAACTTCACTTAACGGCTACTTCCGTCCTCCTCTCCCCGGTGGCACTGCTCGTTGGTAATAAAAATCACTCACTCGCCGCGTGGCTACTCCGGCGTGTGTGCACGACAGAGAGAACGCGGAAGGACGCCTCTACTGGCGCGAAGACGACGCACTTCTATCCGCCAAGTTTCTTCGTCTTTTACTCCCCCGCCTGTCTCCGCTCTTCAGCGCGGGACGCACGATCGACGGAATCGCGGTCTCGTTTTTACGAGAAACGAAACGCACCACCGCGCGACAGTCGATCGACGTATCGATACGAACAACCGTACGCAAGCAGAGGCCGCAATACACTGAGCGAACACATGACTCCGAGGGGGCCTAGTGTTGCCGCACGCCGTCCAGGTGGCGACACCGACGCGGCGCTCTGATCGGGATCGGCGACAGAACGTACGAAAGTTGCCCGGGAAAGAATTTTCATTATTTTGGAAAACTTACCGTGAGTGTGTGTGTGATTGTGAGTGCGTATGTACGAGCATTCCACCCATAGAACTTCGCAGTAGCCGAGTACCAGACGGTGGATCCTCCTGTCGAACAATTCGAGCGAATCTCCAGCAACAGACACACACGGTAGATGGTCCCCTCGAACACCGAATAGTGAGTCCTTCCCTTCTTATATTTATCTGTTTCCACGAATTCGGTAATGACACTGATCCACGATGATCTATAAATATCATTCCCCCGAATTCGTAGAATCCTGATATGTATGTAATCTGTGTTAGCTTAGTTTGTATGTACATACGTCACGTAGTAATGAGTGTTCCGTTTTTGGCGGGAACCATATTTACATCTTCGTTAGCACTCCTAACCTTTATCGAACTATGAGGTACCACCCTAACTGTGCGTTCAGTGTCTCTACGAACACTAAACGTCGCGTGGTATTTACATTTCGGAGACTCATTTTTCGCATTAGTTGACAAAGTGTGCCTTCCAAATAACCCTGAGCAATCGGATGATCTTGAAGTTCCACAAATATGGCGTTAGTTACAAGAAACCTTACGACGGAATGCGTATGCGCGAAAGTTCGTGCGCAGTAGCTTCGATTTACGATGATTAGATCGCGACGGAAATGTCACGATAGGTGAAATAAATTTTACGACGAGCAGCTTTACGTGACGACACGATGTGCACAGTAGGATTTCGTCACCGATTTACAAGGAGAACGCGTTGAGGATATTTTTAGAAAGCCAAAAATTAGTCGTTATCACGACCACGCGGTTATCACATTGCGCCATTCTTCGCATATTTCGTGCAGTGCCTTTTTTCTTTTCGTCCCAAGAGAGCGAAATCAATAAATCATGTAATTCTCGTTACTTCATCGTGAGATCACGCCGACACGGGATCTCGAGTTTTCCGAATTCCTTGAGCATCGCGATACGACACAGAAATGTATATAGCTGCTTTTTCAGTCAAATAGAATCACCTTATCGGGCCTAGGGAACTTCAGCGCGTCGGAACACAGGGGAGGGAAAGATTTCGCTGTGAAATAACACAATGAGGTTGTCGTTTTACAATCCGATTGCTTGCAGATCCGTAGTCTGCGGAATGTAATCTTGTTTGCAAGCCAAAGTTAACAGGTCTGGCGGTATTTACTTACTCTCAACACTTTCGTCACGGTTACGTACAGTAACCGCGATTAATAGTGAAAGCGTGTTATCATCATCGTGGAATGCATACTTGCCTGATATTTTTACGCGAACCTCCGTTATTCGAACGAACGAAATTTTCACCGTGTCACCATTTACGGTACGAAAACCTTCCAAATACCATTCTCGGATTCAACTATTCCAGGGCCCGGGATCATCTTGATCAAGTAAAAGTTTCTCGCGCCGGAGACACGAACGCGTTTCCTCGGTGCACAAAGATCGTCGTCCCCTATCTCGTCCAATTAATTTCTCGGCCGAGTTCGTTTGTACCTCTCTTCCTCGCGCTATCTTCCAATAAATATCCAGCGTCTCTTCCCGCGATAAAATTCCTCTACCCCCAAAAATCCCGTCGCAATTTTCGGCCCAGTTTCATTGCGTTCATCGGCACGCAGCTGTATACACTCTTCGAGAACGCGACTTCCGGTCCCGGACTATCGGCGCCCCGGTTGCAACGACCGCAGGCATTCCTTGCTAACAGAAATTGAACTGTACGAGAAAACAAAGGAAAAAGCAAAAAATAAAAAAACGTCTGAAATATCAATTTGCGTGTGTGTGCACAAGCCACAGTTGGCAGCGGTAACGTAGCCGGGCGACACACAGAAGCGGCGATTGGCTGCTAAAACAGCTGCTATCTTATCGTTTTCCCCGTGAATGTCAACAATCGTCGTTCATCTTGTACAATGTACCGTGGCAACGTGTAATTTCCAGCAAACGAAATTTTCTCATCGCGATCGTTTCGAGACGTTCAAACACTGCAAATGTCTTTTTTTTATTCTTTATTCCCTACATTTATCGACCATGCGATCCATCGAAGATAGTCCTCCTCAATCATATCCTACTCAACGATACCTTATCGAGAAAAAAAAAAAGAATCGCCGATGATTATCGTGGTACTTGACTGTTAAGTGCATTATCGAAGTGGAGATCTGTTCGTTTGTTTACTTTTCCGGAAGTCCCACTCTCCCGGAGTACCCACTTCTTTTATCGTGTAACGAAAGCGATCACGATCGTTAATTAGCATTCCACGGCGGCGAGTGATCGCAAAGCGAGTCGAAATATACGACGAACGTTAACCTTGACGGTCTAACTTCAATCCCGGTACTCGATCATTCGTGTAATAGTCCCGGCTATTTATAATAGCTCGAGTTTTTCTGTGTACACGAGCAAGGGACTCGGCCGCGAACCATTCGACACACCACCGCAGGTCTCCTCGGCCGTGTCGCGACGTCGTGAGCCGCGAATCGTGTCGATGGAAATCAGGCTAAATGACAACGAGACCAAGCCGTCACGATCGAACGTGTCGAATCGCGACGAGTTTATTTTCAGCCTCGGTCTAAGCTCGTGCATATCTTATGTAAAGTGACCGGGGTGTGCGTGGACAAAACAGAGCTCCGTCGTGCTAGCAAGCTGGCGTAGAGGCGTTATATGGAAAAATCACGCCACGGGAGAGGGAGCCAGAAGAAGAAATTCCGAGCGAGTGGGAAATTTCCGAACCCTATTTGAAATTTTCACCCTAGGACGATTATTCTCTCGTTCTCTCTCTATATATCTTTCTGTCCCCCCTTGTTATACACTCTTAAGCGACGATGTAATTGCCGGCGATCAGAGCCGCTCCTTTTCGTTCCAGTGACGACGATGAACCGCGGAGATTAGCATTCCCGTATCGAAACATTTTTCTTTTTTTTTTTTTCACCGCTCTCGGACGTTATTGTTCCACGGACGGATGAAGATAATTCCGTGTCTATAAATAGAGGAACACCGCGGCTGACTGGCAGAAGGAGAACTCAATAAAAGTTACGCTCGGGGAGTGAGAGGACCGTGACAGACGCGTTCTCGAGCGTGAAGCCGAAAATAATACGATTGTAACCGAACGACGTGCGATTAATACTAAATCCGGCTGATACCAAAGTCTTACAGTATGTATTCGGGAATTACGAGGATCTGCATGAATCGAAAGTCGTCGGCGGCGCTGACGAGACTAAAAAGAAGAAATCGAATGAACGAACGTGGAAAGAATCCTTCGTGTTTTTTTGTTGTTGTCCTGTGTTATATGTATATTTGTTTTGGTCGATCGTCGGCATTATCAGTGTCGTTGCGACCAGTAATTGTACGGGGTCACATGCGTGTCCTGCGCTAACCACCGGATCATTTTGCAACATTGCTCCCGTCCCTTACGGTTTCAACAACATCGTTCTCAGGAGGCAGATACAACCATTTGAAAATTGCGGCGCCGCTTGCAACCTGTATAAACAATCGGCCATTACGCACCGTTATACGATAATCGTGCTTGACGTCAAATATTAAATGATTTCGCTGCGTGAATCAGGCTGTTTAAATTGTCCGGCTTGATTGGATGATGGCCGCTCCTCTAAGTTGGCCGACAACCACTTCACCGTAAATAAGATGGTACCCCATTCTGTATATAAGAGTTGCCTCGTTATACAGGGTGTACGATTCTTACGGTCGACCACGAAAAAATCTTCTATGGTGATGCGTATCGCTGGATCCTTCGGTAAAATTTGTTAATCTCATCGTTACGACGACGAAATTTGTCTGATTCGAGGGAGATCGATCGTGTATCTTCAATTCTTCGACGATCTCCTGTATGGTTTCCATTGTAGAATCTTCACGTGCACAATCATAGCGTTTTCATCAGGGAAGCTTTAATGCTCGCTCGTTCCGTCGAGTTTACAAAGGACTCTCCGAATAGTAAATTGCGCAATAAATTCAGAAGTCATTCTCGTGTTTGCACGACTCTTTTGCACTTGAGCGCGGCGGAGCCGCGTACCGCCGCCGGTTGTGTCGCGATCACGTGTCTCGGATACGCACGTAACGAGACGTGCAAATTAACGTAATGAAGAGTTTAGTTATCCACCGGTGGAGGGGGAAACCAGTAACCAGGCGTTATAGTTTTATAGTCTTTTCGTGATCGGGTGGACCGTCGGGTCGTTGCGTCAATTATAAATAAACGTGTAACAGTAACACTGGCCTTGTCTGGGAAAGGAATGAAATCGCTGACCGGTATGCATATTAAAAACGGGAACGTTTGCCGGCCCGGTGGCAACGTATCATTAACATTGAACTTTCTATGACCGATTCGCGATGTAAATCGATGTCGAAACGTTTAGAGAGACGACAAAAAAATGTACCGTTAATTATGTGCCTAGCGTGGACTCGGTGGGTTCTTCCCTGAAACACCGCAACTCGACTGTCGTCGGTGTAAATCGGGAACGATCACGCCCAATCCAAGATCCACTCTGGGACTTTCAGAAGTCGACGAACGACCAATTCATTGACGCAACTTTCTGTACGAGTAGAATTTTAATCGAACCACGCGTTCCATGGGTTACTCCAGTCCACTTCAGACAGTCGACTTTGATCGATTTCTTTCTTCTTTGTTTTTTTTCTTTATTTTCAATTTTTCGCGACGATCATTGTCTGGCTCGCAACCGTCTGGGGTCAGCCCGTGTGCCCGCGGGCAGATAATACCAGGAATAGAAGTAGAGGCCGAGCGACGCGTGCAATCACCGTCTGTTTCCCGTGCTGGTTGTTCAATTAATTTCTTCGATGTTTAATTCTTTAATGAATCTCGATGCGTTATCGCCACCGTTCCATCACGCGTCGCGCTCGTGTGCGTCCGGGAGCCGTTGCACTCGCAGTGCGTGGAACGAGTGAGATCCCGTCAATAGAACAAAATTATCACGGACCTTCGCGTTCTTATTTGCAAGACCATTGCCACCGTAATATCGAGGAAAAAGAAATTTTCGATAACTTCGATGTGGACTGTATCGCGTGTGATTCGTCTTGTCGATGTTCTATTTATTTCTCTTTTTTTTTTAATGAACTTCTTTATTTCAAAGTGGAAGTAATAAACTTACACAGATCGTAGAATCGCGACAGATCGTTCGCTTGATCGCGGGATACATATCGTCGTTGGAATTTACGTGAATACATTTCAAGCTTTCCGATCGTTTAGTGTTCGTGTGTATATATATTACTATTATAAATAATCGGCTTAAGTACCACGAGCCGATAATGCTAGTTAATACTAGACCAGTAGGACGCCCGGAGGGACCAAGACTTTCCTTCGTCCTTACGGTCGTGTACAGGAAAGAATGCGTTTCACGTTCGCTGACGCGAGTACCGGACTGACGCCTTAAATTAAAGATAAATTGACTAGAGAGACACTTACGTAGAATAACAAAGCACGAGCCTTATTGATTGTCTAAGCTAATGCGTGGAATTATACCGTTACACACGGGCGCCGCGTAGGTCTCCGTGCGCGGGTTACAATATGCTATAAATAATGTATAAAAACATATCTGTTAGGTACCTTCGTTCTTTTTTTGTACGTACGGTCCGCCTTTGGTACATCGTGTACTGCGATCGGTAAGGGAGGAAGGGGAAAAAATCATATCGAACACGTGCGTGTGTCTTGTTCACCAGCCAGTTATTCGTTCGTTAATTGACTAACCGCCGCCGGGTGTTAATCCTTCGATCGGATGTTAATCGAAAAACGGCAACGAAAAACGTGATTGTCGAGACGATTCAGCGTAGAAATAAAATCTGCCACGGGTTTCATTTCGATAGAAAGTGTCGAAACATTGACCTAGTTCGTTACGTATCATCGAGTGTCACTGGGAAGACAAAAATTCGAATAAGAATTCATATCGAGTCGCCTACCTATTTTCGGTTATTCATTCAAAGGAGCATCATTTCACACGAGAGTTCTCGTGGGTTCCATTCGGACCAGAAACTCAACACACACATACAAATTTTCTCTCTCTTATGTACACTCTAATTGCGACTGGTTTTTATTCCAAATCATTCGTTCGGATAGGCGATCACTGTCTTCGAACGCGACGCGATATCGAAGAGATAATATTCCCAATTCGACGGTGAAGAACTCTCTAATCCAATCTGCCTCCCGGATAATAAATCAACGGCGTGGTTGCGTCCCATCCGTCGATCTCCTCGTTCGACTGGGCGGCTCGTTTCTGACAATTCAAGATCAACGTGCTGTGTCTGGGGCTGTTTGGCGCGGATCTGCACGTCGTCGTCGTCGTCTGTGCGATACCAGGCGATCCAAGCCGGAAACTCTTGGTCCCGCCCCGCGGGAAATAACACTCGTTCCCAATAGTCCAATTATTCCGGGCGTTTCGCGTTTCCGTCTGCAATCGATGCATGTACTTCCCGTCGATCTGCGTCGTCTCTTGCTCGCAAAGCTTCTCGACGCATGGACACGAGTTGCTCGACGATCTCCAGCTCTCCATGCACGAGGATCGAATCGCGCATGGCATCTTCGTTTTGCACGGGCTGTTATCGACTATCGATTCCAGCTGGCTGTTCGTTCGCGAGCACTTTTGATCGAGATGATCGGAACTGGCGAATCGTAGCCGTTTAGGCGATTCGCTGGAGCATCGCATGAACGTGGACCTAACCAGGGACTTGTTCTTTAGAGAACTACGCGGTATCGATGGATTCCCGTGGTTGTTCTTCTTGCCGCAACCGCTACGTCGATTCTCCCTTTCCATGTTACGCTCCTCCCTAAGACACGGATCCTCGCCGATCAGCCAGTAGGTCAATCGTTCGCCTTTTCCTTTCATGGGGATCAGACCTCTCTCTACCACGCTGAAACCTCCTATTTGGTCCAGCAGTTCCTTCGTCACGCTGCTGCAGTGGATTTTCAACGCTGGAAAAAAAAACCCACGAAAGGAGGGGAGGTGAATCGTTGTTGTTCGGTAAAGCTAGAGGTCTGACTCGTTAAGAACGAAAAAATAAAAGGTGATACTCACGCGATCCTGTCGATTCCATACGGCTTGCGGTGTTCACCGTGTCCCCGAATAGACAATAACGCGGCATTTTCAGCCCGACAACGCCGGCGCACACAGGGCCTGTGTGTGGTGGAAGGTAAAAGTGTGTCAATTGTGATCGAGGCGGTCGTATATATGTATATGTATATATGTATCGTATCGTTGTTTCCGCGTCTGAACTCACCGGAATGTATACCGATTCGCAGTTGCAGTTTATCAAGGGGCCTGTGCCGAATGGTGAATTGCTTAATGGCGTCTAGGAGGCACAAGGACATACTCGCAATTTCTCCGGCGTGTTGTATGCCGTTCCGTATTGGCAGACCGCTTACCTGTTAAGAAATAAAGTGTGATTTATCGCCGCGGCCGGTTTAAGTTACAGCCGGATCCTGTGTATTTTACGATTACGTTCAAGTTTGGAACACTCACCACCATGTACGCGTCACCGATCGTTTCCACTTTGTACACGTCGTAATTCTCTATCGTGGAATCGAAGCAAGTGTACAAGTCGTTTAGAAAGTCCACCACCTGAAAACGATGAGGTTTTGTTTTTCTGTTTTTTTTTTTTTTTTGTTCGTACGTTTGCTCTGGAAATTGTATTATGCATTTCGCATTCGGTGAGTCGCGCGCGCGCGGGAAGGGAATTCTTATATATATACCTGCAAAGGTGTGCTCTCCGCAGACATCGCGGTGAACCCGACGATATCGCTGAAATAAATGGTCACGCAGTCGAAGCTCTCTGCCTCCACCTTGTGTCCCCGTTTCAATTGCTCGGCGACGTAGCGAGGCAACATTTCATATAATAGAGCGTCTGAGAAGGAGAAATTTTAAACGTTACGTAATGGTGAGTCAGGGTTGTAGGAGCTTTCTCGGATCGAATGAAAATCGTGGAACGTTCGTTACCTGTTTTCTTCTTTTCCTCCGTCAATTGGTCCGTTCGCTCGTCCACCAACGCTTCCAGATTGTTCGCGTACTTCTCCATCATGGCCATCATGTTGTCGAATATGTTCGGTTTCCTAGAAGCGTGTTCATTGGACAATTCATAATTTCAATCGTTTCAGATTTCAATTGTATTTTTTTCAACGCTTAGAATCAACGATTCCTTAATAAAATTCACAACTTACATCCCCTTTCGCAACGGTCTCAGCTTGCTTCTGACGATCTTGAAGTCCGGACGACACTCGGGATCCTCCGCCCAGCACTCGACCAGACAGTCCCGCACGAAATGGAAACAGTTCTCCAGATGATCCAACGGCGGTCTGAGATAATTGAAGGAAAACAGAGTAGTTGACAGGGATGGAAACAGAAGCACTGTGAAAACGTTCCAAGTAGACTCCCTGGCGTCGACTGATCGCGACTTTTGTAATTCGTCGTACCTGAACGGCTCTGTTCCCGGCTCCCTCGCGATCACCTTCTTCAGGATCTCCGAGTCGGAGTGTTCCGTGATCCCAAAAGGACCGTGTCGGCCCTGGAGCTCGTACAAAACGATCGCGAACGAATAAACGTCCCCCCTTTGATAGTCACGAGCGGTTGGCTCTTGGGTTCGCGTCGATCGTAGCAGCTCGGGTGCTCGATACAGTAAACCTGTATAATAATAATAAAAAAAGAAGCAGTTCATAGCGAATAAATCGTCGAAAATCTGTCTCGTGGATCGCGATACTAGGATCGTTATTTTCGTAGATACCGTGATATTTCTTCATGACGTCGCACGGCTCGCATTCGGCGTCCTTTTTGAACTCGTGCAGTCCAAAATCCGCCAGCTTTACGACCCACCGGGAGTCGACCAGGCAGTTCGACGTACTCAGCGAGCCGTGATATTTTATGACGGACTCGTGGAGATAGATCATACCCTGGAAAAAACGCATTGCTCTACGTGAACTCGTTCCATGACTCTCGTCAACGTCGAGAACATTCGTTTCGATCGAGGCAGACGATTGAATGAAATTTGTCAGGATTGGGGGAGGGGAGGCCGAAGGATTGGGGTAAAATTTGTTCGTCGAGTGAAATTCGTCGAGGAGGAAAAGTTGGGGAATGTACGATCGTGAAAGTTCGAAACGATGTCGCCGTGGTCGTCGTCGCGGAAGGGATTTCAAGAATTGTGTATTCGTCTCGGGGAAAACAACATTGTACGGTTCAATGCCCGCAAAAGTATTCGTCAGGAATATAATGTAATCAAGGAGAAGAATCGAATTTCTGGGATCCGATTAGTTTTTGCCGGGACGTTGAATAAAAAGATAGACGAAAAAAAAACAGGAACAATGCTTACTCTGATGATGTCGCCGACCAGCGACGCCATGAACATATTATCCAGCTTCATGTCCTCGTTCTCCAAGATGTCCTGCGTGTAAAGAAGCAAAAAAAGAGGAACGGCAGAGAAAATAACCGGGGGTTCGGACTCGGTGAATTTTCGTTTACTTAATTACTGGCTACCTTTGCGGATGATTACCTTGAGACTGCCACGTGCACAATACTCGACGACGATGCATATGTTCGGGGGATCGGTACACGCACCGATGAAAGCGTTCAAATTATCGTGTCGTAAGTCACGCATCTAAAGAGACCATCTTTCAATTTGCATATCACGAAATCGTAGAAGGCTCCCCCCCCCCGAATGTCTCGTGTGTACTCACCACTTTCAGCTCCTTCTTCATCTCTCGTGTAATTTCGATCGATTTCTTTCGGACCTTCTTCACAGCGAATATCCGCCCCTTGTAGACGCCTATTTGCGTGTAAATCATGGAATATCGAAAGTCGGCGTCGGGATTCGAGCTCAGCGAGACTTGGCTGGTCCTGACGATCGGCTGCGTTGTCGACTGGACAGAAAAATCTTATTTCAACATCTCTTCTTCTGTTCTCGATCTTCGTTCGCGTTCTCCTTATGCATATAGTCTCGAAATATGGTAGCGTAACATTCACGAAGAGCTCAGTTCGCATGATGTAGCATGGTTAGATTTCGTTTCGATTCCTCGAGTAAACCGATCAGTTTTTCATGACTGCAAAATTGATTCTGGCGTCGCAAAGAAATCGGTGGCGGTCCGTATCACTTTACATATTGATAGGAAAAATCTAGGGGATCGGAACTTGGAAAATTCCCGGGAATTCGGTCGTGTTTGGAAAAGCGACGGATACAGCAAGGGGCAAATATAGAAAGAAGAGAAAAGTCGGTAGCTCGTGGAGGCAAGAGCGAGCATTTACCTTGGAATTGCATTTGGGTGGCGCCTCGTTGACTACCGCCGACTCGTCTTTCTGCTCTTTGATCTGAATGTCTTTGTAGTTCACCTTCCAAAGCAGGGAATCAAGTTCCTGCTCGTACTTCCAGTTCCTGTACAGGACCAGCAGCACCGCGGTGATGATCAGAAGGAAACCACCGGCTATACCGCCGACGATCTCTCCCGTGTGAGCTGAAGGGATTAGAACGCGATCACGTGTACGGTCTCGTGTTCCCGTAAACGATTTTGCGTTCTTCGAACACCGATGCCCGGATCGATCCGATTGTTCGCCATTCCCCTCTGCCCTCCCCTCGATCGCTCGAAAGATTTAGGTCAGAGATGTTCGTCCCCTTCTCTTTTAATTGTACCCCCGTGCAGCACGACGGTCCTTATGGACGTCGAAATCGGCCCCGATCGGTTTCGTAATCGGTAATCGCGCGTGGTTACGTGGTCGAAATACGTATTCGATCTCAATTAAAGGAAACGAAAAAGGTACCGCTTGGAAGGGCGGAAGGCGGCCCCCTTCCTCCGTTCCCCGTTTAAGTGATTTACATATGGAAATTTTAAGGTCGCGAAGCGGCAAGCTTCGTATGATGTATTTTTTTCGGAACGATCGATTCGCGGGCCTTACATTATACACACACGACAAATGGGAGCAATCTTTTTACCCTGTTCCTCGCGAGACGAGTGCGTAATCTTCCTCGATTTATCGCGAGCGCGACGTTCCATCCGATCGCGCAAAACCCCTTTCGGGAATCGATCACGTCGCGACTCGAGACTGTACGTCACATATATTGTTTATCAACGCGAGTAAGGGGCATTGTTCGTACGTACAGGTACATTTTTCACCGTGATACCCGCAATGAGGCTCCGCGATAGGTGGTCCATCACCGATCCACGAGATCTCTCTGGTTAATCGAAGTTTCTAGAATGGAAAGAAAGATCGAGCGCACATTAATGAAGGACCGGTCGACCCGAAAAAGGGAACGTTCTGCGATACGGTAAATGTCTTACCGGCAGATTCGTGCCGTTCTCTTTGCCGACGAAGTACGCTATTGGATATAAACCGTGTCCTTTTGTCGGCCGATTGTCCAACGCAATCAGCGTGTAATTACCTTCTGCATCCCCGTTTTCGTCCATGTAAACCATGTACCTGTGAGCAGACAATATCTATATATATATGTATATGTATATACATATATATATACATGTATATCCTGTAACACGCGTACTGTACGCGCATTAAAGCCGTCGTAAATAGCGCCGTGGAACGGGGCGCGTTGTTTCTTGCCGGTTTTATTTTTCCTTCTCAATTCTTGGACGCGATCGTATATCACCGTTATGGATAATTGTAATCGCGGAACACGATAAAGAATATTATGTAACGAACTCCCCGATGGCATTGAAGCAAGAAAAGGATGCACAATTTCAACAGGATATGCATCGTTCTTCATTATTCTCAATCTTCACCGCAATGTTTCTTCGCGAGTGGTCGTATTTCGCATTAATTACATCAGGTTTGATGTACGTCAAGTTTATTAGACAAATATATTTTTCCATCAACTTGGATGCATCAGTATAATCCCGAGCTCTACCTACAGGAACTGCCACGGATTTTTCTTCCTTGGTTCGACGATCCATTTAAAAAACCGTAATCTCTCCTCCTGACGGCCAGAAGAAGAGACACGCGTCTCCGCTTCAGATTTTTCGCAATTTTTTTAACCCCACGGAGCCGTGTGGATCCATAAATTCATCCCGTAATCACTGCAGTCGAGGAATTTTGGCGGATAGATACGGGAGTTGACGAATCGTCCCGTTTCCGTCATCGTCGACCCCGTTACCGCACGCCAACGGTAATTACTTCGCCGAAAAATTACTTATTTTTCTTTTTGCGAAGTCATCTCGCGACCGAACCACCGGGTTTGCATATACTGTCAAAACGTTACGATAAGGAATGAGATCGGCCCTCTCTCCTCTCGACTTCTTCGATCTCGTGGCCAGGGTTTCCGGAGAATTCCCTACCGGTGGGGATAAGGTGACATCGTATAGAGATATCTACACGAATACGACTTAATACGTCTTGTGTACACCATGTTAATATACTGCGTGGCATAACTATAAAACCACCTTAAAATTTTCAATCCTTATGTATTGGTTAAAATAAAAACGAACCACTTTTTTTCTAGGGAATACAATCTATCCTTTTCTGGAGAAACATTATTTCTCAACACGATTTTGAACGTGGTATATTTGGTTCGTTTTTATTTTAACCACAATGCATAAGAATTGAAAGTTTTAGGGTGGTCTTCAGCACAAATGTAGCCTCAATACTACTCTCTGCTACGTCAGTCTGCGTCCCCGCGTTGTAAAATCATTTTGTTGCATATTATTTCGAGTATTATTTCTTTCGCCAAATTTGAAATACAAAAATAACAAAATAATTCATTATTTCAAATGAATCGGTAATATTTTCATCTCCAAACACCAGTATTGAAAATGAAGTTCGGAAATAAATTATCTGAAATAATTATTTCTGATTCTCATTGCAAATAAAATTTGCCCAGGTCTGGTTCCTACGCGGCCATGTTTTTCCTAGTTCTAGCAACCCTGTGCCGTGGTATCAGTACGTACCCCATGGCACTGCGATAATGTAGCCCGTAAAGAGTCGCGACGATCTCCCGGCCGTTCCGTGGATCACGGTTCTCATCCAGAGCTTTCAGCAACGATCTCTCGTACAGGTGCACCGCGTCGTAGAGATACGCCGTCTCTGGCACGATCTGCCTTATAACACAAAACGAAGGATTACGTTTGAATATTGAATACCGCGATTCGATCTTACGTTCGAGATCGCGATCGAGTACCCAGGCAAGAAGGATTGAAACTTCGGGAGTGGAAAGATTCGTCTGCAGGATAAGTTTCTGCTTGCGAACGGAATGGAAAGTCGAGTGGAAATGTTGATCCAATGGAAATGGGATAGATGGACCCTCTACGAGCCTCGTAAAATTGAAATTTCCGATCCCCTCGGGGAATGTTCATGGTGGTCTTTCTTCTACTTTCATCGTGCGGTGATTGCAAGCGATTGTAATAGTCACCTGAACGATCCCACCGACGTTCGCGAGCGGATTGGTGAAGTTGAAGGGCGGCCGTTGCCTGTACCCGTTCACCAGCCGCGTAAAGTTCCTCGAGTAGATCGGCGGTGACGCGACCACGCTGAAGTAGCTACGATACGCCTTCAGAATCGACGAGTTCGTTCGCTTCTGCCACAAGCCACGGAAGTATTTGTCCGGTCGTTTCTCGTCGTACTGCTCGATATCGACGCCGACCACCCAGTATTCCCCTGCGGGGCGAATCACACGGAACGGGTTCGTTTTCGTTGTGCAAAACGAGAGTTTAATTACAGGGGAGACCAAGGACGAACAGTTTGTACCTTTCGAGTGTGTAATTTTTAAATTCCGTAGAATTTAAACAAAATTCTCACACGACGACAAACTTTGATTATTGGACAACATAATCGATGTTTAAAACTTGGAATATATTATACAGGTTTTTTGAAATGAGTCTTTCTATAAAGTGACTCATTTGTTAATTTGTCCTTGGGGACGATTGTAACACCGTATCTAAATTGAAACGAAAACCATGTAATAGAAAAGGTGCTTTTCAATGATATTTTTATTTAGTCTATGGATAGATTGGTGGTCGATTGTCATTTGTTTTATAACAGTTGTTACATTCGTCCCGAGTTTCCCCCATTGTTTGAAGAAATCGCGGAAATGTGGACAGCAACAAATGCAGAAGGAACGTACAATTTACACGGTTATTAAAAACTTTGTCATACCGAAATAAGAAATTAGTCTATCGAGTTCTTGTTACTCGGGGAAATTTGGAGAGCTTTAGATCAGAATTCGATCGATATAGACAACTATGAAACTACTAGCGACACTGCTTCTCTGGTATATGTACCTGATTAGGTTACAGCAGATTTATACCTGTTTCCAAGAGATTCTTCTGGTCCAGAGCCATCAGGAGTCCCATGTGCTCGTAATAATTCCCTAGAATCACGTAAACTGGAAACAGAAAACTCCTCGATTAATTTCACAGATTCCATTGTGTCACAAGGTACATTGCCCCCCTATGTAATTTCCTTGACCGTTCGAAAGGGTGTCATCGGGACTATTTTTAGTAACCGGATAAACAGAAATAGACAGATGGTCCTATCGACAGGATAAAATTACAGGCAGTATCTATTCACCGCGACGCAAGACTCCTGGTAATCGTAACGATGCGGGTTATCGTGCCGACAACAGAATTAACATGCGGGTGTGGGCCTCTTTGTTTCGAGCGACGCGTGAAACGTGATTCATGAAAGAGCGTCTCTTCTGCCGAAGATCGTTTCACCGTTATCGGGATCCTCGTAAATTAACGGAAAACAGGTCGCGCAACGACTTCGCAAACACGATTTCATTGTCGTCTTTCAAGAAAACCCAGTAAATCCGAGGTCGATATTTCCGTACTCACTTCGTGTCTCTCGATACGTCTCGGTGACGTGCTCGTGGAACGGATTGGTCATGTGCGTGACGTGATAAGGCTCCTGCCAGCAACGCAAAAAATTCACGGTGACGCCGGCCGCCTCGAACGACGAGAGTATCGTCTTCGCGATGGTGGACATCTTGTTGAACTCGAACAGGGTCGAGTTCATGTACATGAACGTCACCTGAAACAGTGTGTTCCCAAAAGTCGACTGCCAACATGGAAACACGGACCCTCGATTAACACATTCGGGACGGGCCGTAATCGTTTTTCCGACCCCCATGGCCTGGAGAAATGAATTTTTAATATTCAATTATAAGTATTCGAAAAGATATAGTGGGAACTAGAATTCCCAACTGCCAGTGCCTACAATATTTAAAACCCTGGACGATCAGTACCAAACTCTTCATTTCGAAGCATTTCTCCCTATAACATTATTGTCCTGAGTTTAGGACAATAATCGAGAGTGGTCTATAGCCCCCAAGGCGGTCGTGAGATTCGTCCATGTTGCGAACTATCGTTCCCATCCGTACCGAATGTGTTAAGACGTTCTTCAGGTATATTGTTTCGCTTACTTTGGTCCAATTGAACGCCATCAGCACGGAAACGACCGACTTCGAGATCTGCGTGTCCGGCGGTCTAGTCCTCGCGAACGTCGGGAATTCCTTTTTGTCGGAGGACTCGCGATGCGTGCAGAACTGGAAACACATCCGTAAAGAGACTATTGCATAAATAATCGTGAAGAAATAGGAACGTTTCTATTATTTCCAAGCCGACGTTATTATCGTTCCCAGTCGGAATCCAGGTGAACAGTGGCTAGCAGGTAGAGATAAATAACATGGCGGTGTACCGACACACACAAACGTTAATAAGCCAGTTACGAATTTGCATTCGGTTTCTAGGTTGGTCTATTACTAGGCCTGGAGGACGTACGGACACGTAATGCTCGCCGTGATCAGTGTGTTGGCTCTGGACTCGCGATATAACGGGTCCTCGTCGCGGAAAATCGAACGAAAGAGAGCAACGGGGAAATACACGTGGACAAAGTGCGTGAGTCACGATTCGCGATATAGCACGCATCAAGTGAATCGATTGAATTGAAAGGTAGCGATCAAAGAATGTTCGTACCGTCTGATCCACACCGATATCAAAGTTTCATAAGAGATGCTAGAGGATAGGTAGGCAAAATTGAGAAGTTCTTCTTCGTTCGAAAACCGAGGGAATTATTACATCCACTCTACCGTCGACGGAGTCGATTGATATCACTCTGGAGTCGATTCGAACAGGCGGTAGCTCCCGCGTTAAACGGATCGTGAAACGGCATTACTATATACATATATTTCGACAATACAACCCGGAGGTGGAAAACTATTCAATGATCTGGATAATTTGCCGTGAAGATAAATGGTTTCTTGTTCCTGTTTCTCGGTGCAACGGTAACTCAGCCTCGTCCGCGACAGCTGCGAGATTAAAAGACCGCGTAATGAATTACGTGCAGAAATAGTCTCGCGTCGTTCTCTACCGGGTGGGGAATGGGGGGCCTCTCATTATTCATTACGGTCTTTCACGTCAAACGACGTCTTTTCCTTCAAGTTCCATTCTTCGAATCGCGTACAAATCTTCGAACCCTCAAACCTTCAAATTTATAAAGTTAGAACAGCTGCTATCGTCCGCGGAATCGTTCCTGGACCCGCGGACGAGCCTCCGAAAAACCGGTGACTTAACGGAATAGATCGAGCGTTCGTGGGCCACCGAGACGGCGTTGAATGGGTTCAACGTGTCGTAACCTCAGCCCCCTTCTTCTCCCCTATGCGCAATTCGTATTCCTCGGTGGTCCGCGAATAATTTATTTCCTCGGTTGGCCCGGCGCTCCCGGCGGAGCTTAAAACGCGCATTGCACCGTCAGATCACGTCGGGACAAGCGAAAAAAAAAACGAACGATCGGAGTGAAACACTTCTTCGGGGATCGGCTACCTGGCTATTACACGCACACACACATATAGGTGTGTGTGTGTACACGATTCGCGATTTTAGTGGACGGAATCGAGGAGCACGGTGACGACAGCTGTTGGATATTTGTTTTCGGTCGCGTGCTGTACCTATGTTTTGTGATAGCATCTTTCTTCGCGTGGCACTTACGGGGCGGAAATATCCGTACGAGGTGTTCAACATATTGGCGTCAATCCTCGATGAGTGTTCGAAGGCACTGAACATTAAATATTTCATAAACTAATGGTCATATGCGGTTGAAACAAATATAATTTGCTTCAGAATTCCAAGCTCTATCACTGTGCTAAACCTCATTACGATTCTTTTCATGACTGTACTCTTAAGCATTACTTTATTGTTAATAGTTTCCCAGATACAAAAGGAATTTTGGAAAGTTAAAAATTAATAGTATACATGTTTATTGAATCCAGTTTGAAATCGTCATCACGTGTCTGAATCGATGTTATAAGGCAAGGGGTTGAAAGGCATTACACCTGGGGAGTTTTCAGTGCCGAGGAGCCTGAGAACACTCATCGAGGGTTTACTGCACAGGTAAAAAATCAAGCGCCAAGACGGACGGAACTAATGGCACAACCAGATGATGGAAGCGCACAGATTTTTCGTATTCCATCGATACCGCCGACGGTTCCGGGGCGAACAACCGCAATAAAAGTTGTTCCAACTAAAAGCATGCAAGCGCACCCGACTTGTTACTTGACTGGAGTGCTTCCAGACGAGTATACACACCCGGGGGCCGTGAGGATAAATTCTCCGGATTTAGCTGCATTTACTAGAGTAACGGATCCACACGGTTGGATAACCGAGAGAGCCTTTGGTACTACGATTAACAAAAAAACGTCTAAAAGAAACTCAGTTACTCCGAGGTTGCAGTTCCGGCAGTAGGTACTGCCCAGAAGATTCTGATCCCCGTGTACTTAAAATGGAGAATTCTCCGCTAAATTTCGTTCTTCCCCGATCTTAACCTACCTAGACTCAGTTAATGTAAGGACAGATCGAAGATATAGGTACTCACGTAAGATATCATAGGGAGGTTGAACGCCGCTGCCATTCTACCCTCGTGTATGCAGGTTTCCTGGGGACCGATGTACACGCTGACATTCTTCGTCCATAGATCGGCGGTCATCAGGATGCTGGTCTCCTCTTCCCCATAAGTTTCCGCGACCAGGAAATCGAGCTTGTGACCCCGTCTTCCAAGCTCGCCAGCGTTCACCTAGACGACCCCGGGGATCGTATAATTCTTTTCAAAGAATTAATTAAACCCCCCACGCCCCGTCTGAGCTAGAGGCACGGTTTCCGTGGTTCCCGTTCCACAAGATCTAGAACCTCGCTTCTGGAACCGGATTTAAATATCTACCGTTGTCGGGAGGGAAAACGTTTTTTCGCTTCCGAGTCGTGCAGAAGCAAGAGGGATCTATTCGTTTTCGTATCCGGTGGCGGAACCGGCGACGATAGCAGAGTCCGAGGTGGGAATTTCCGAAATTTTACATTACTCTTAATTAGCTGCTTCCGTGCTAATTGTGGTCGGACGGTGTTCTCGGGAAGGGGAAACAGCGAAAGCGGTTTCAATTACCTCCTCCACGGCGAGAGATATAGCGCCGGATATCCGGTAGCCAGGACGCTGATACTCCAAGTCCCCTGGACGTCTCTTCGAGCCGGTGATGTAGCCGAGGGTGAAGGTCTCCGCGTCGGCCCCGTTACCGAGCAATACGTGGATCGCCGTTAGTAATAGACAAGCCCTCTCCACGTTTCCCAGTAGCATGCCCAGTCGCGAAACCTTCGCAAATCAATTGAACAACAACGCTATAACAATACTGTACGGATCTCGTCCAGAATCCACCATTGGTTTCGATCGAACTGACGTTGGATGATTAACCCACATCCGTCCCTCATTTCCCCAATTTAATTTCTCCCTCGATGTCAAATAGACCCAGTGGTAAAAATTAATAAAATGAAGTGATAAATAGATAAATTTGCAAATTCTTTAAGGCAAAACTCACAAAGCCTCGGATAAATTTAACTAGACATGATGAAATAACGTCATTTCTTAGGAGATAAGCAGAACTTATTCTTACGCGAAGCTCACAATTTATTCTGTAACAAATTCAATACCAAACTACAGTGTACTTTAGTCATTTATGAATACAAGTTTTCTTATTGTAATTCGTGCAGTTATCGAAGCACGTATTTATATTATAATTGTTCTTATTGTAAACTCGTTCGGTTTCCAACAATTACGTTATTTTCGTTTTCACGCTTTTCACCGTATATTGTTCATTGCGTTCGTTCGCGCTTTGAAATGCAATCTTGCAGTGGCGGCAGGGAGCGCACGTGCTTTTATTTTGCAGGCGGAGCCAATAAAAGCATGGGCTTGCGGACGAAAGATATAGGGAGCGTAATGGATGAAACCGGTAAGCTCGACGGGGTTGCAATAAACACCATCAATCTCCTATGGAGTGCCGCATTTCCTCTTCCTACATTTCGACGCCGTTCACCGCAACTGTCGGACCGCTACAATTCCCTCTATTTTTTTCCAGGGGGAAACTGTTGTGTTGCCGTAAGCACGAGTAGCCGTCGACAGGTCGTTGACGGGCTTATTTTCTTCCATGGCTTGATCGCTCGAATTCTGATACCGTGAACACTGTGTGCTTTTTTTTTCGAAAAAAAGTCGACGATAAACGAAAACAGAACGAATGGAAAAATTGACCGGTGTTCCAAAAAGCACTTCATACACACAGTATATTGGATTTCTACTGTTCTTTTATCGTCCGTCTTGAATGGCCAATCGAACGTTAGATACCTAATCAGAAACAATGCTTTCCTGTCATGTGTCCCACGTCTAGATCGTTCTGGCATCTCTAGATCGAACGTTAAACCGCGACGACCAAGTGCACACACATGCACGTATGCATAATACGAGTGAGCGAACATATTCTCCAGTGTAGCGATGTTTTTTAAACGCGTCACGCTCTCACAATGGACCGAGCACACATTTTCCCACGAACCTATCGCAAGAAAATAATCATTTATCCTGGATCTTCGGATCGGCCGAGTCGAGAGTCCGGTGTTATTAATCAATCGCGGTGACTCAACGCTCTCCTCCTTTCTTCTTTTCCGCCATTCTCTCTCTCTCTCTCTCTCTGGTACTCGCAGAGTTCCTTTCTGAAGTCGCTCTAAACAACCTTCTCCTGGTTACATAATTGGTAGTCGGCGAACGGTACATATTTGACGTCCTGTCTCGCCTTTTTTTTTCGTTCCACGAATTATTAAAATAGAGCATCATTAATAATAGTCGTAGACGGTCCTACCGTTGGTTTCGCCGACGGACATCCACCAACCGGAGAATAGAATAAAATTAGACTTTTCCGCGTCATTACCGGAACACGCTCCTGTCGTTATTTTTTCTTCTCTTCCGAACGAACTTCGACACATGGAAAACCTTGTTCTTGTGCAGTAACGTGTTAATTACAAGAACGTTACGGCAAAAAACGAGAGGACAATCGATGGACATTTCGGGTTCACACGGCTTCGACACGTTAATGAACATACTGTGACTTTCGGTATACGCCCGTGATAATTAGCAAGGTTTGCACACTTTTTATTAATCGGCACGTAAAAAGGGACCAGGCTGAGGAATTAATTTTCACGCGATGGGCGTATTGTCGCAGGCCGATGGGGAATCGATAATTTGAATTCGACCAATCGGTATATGCTGGTATCCATGGCATCGAACATGGTCCGCGGGTCCCTCGCGATACCTGGCAATAATTAACCAGATAAAAATCTCGACGCGGCGGTGGTTACGTTCGCGCGCCACGGCATCGGTTCCCCTTATCCAGAGATTTATCTGCCCGGGGCGGATAACCGCTGTTCGGCCGTTTATTTTTTTCCTCTGGCCGAAAACGCACGGAACCGCGGGATCGACCCACCTTTCGCCGCTCGACATTTCTCATCCTCCATTTACATGTTAATTGTGAAACAAGAGCCGCCGCGGCCGATACTCCAACCCGATTCGCGGCAACATCGATCGATCATTGGACGATTCGATTGTGGGCTCGCGTACGCGTGTCCTGGCTACGTACGTACACGGGGAATCGATTAAAATGTTTCGTCCTCGGGGTATTTCATCGACGACGTCCGAACAAATATTCGTTATTTTCTTATCGATGAAACCGCGCAGCTTCCCACCTTCTCTTTCGTTTCGCGTCCGTGAAGAAAAATAGAGCGGTTGTCCCGGCTTTCGCTAATTAGTCAGCGTGGCAGCTTGTGCAACGTTTCTGTTTCGTTACCATTCGCGCGGGAAAGGTCGATTTACAGCGCCGACACGCAGGGATCTGGTATCAAAATTTAGCCAGTTTAAATTGGCCCACAATGAAAATTTCTTTTATTCTGTAAAGAATACTCACGTCAATTTATTCTTGAGTTCGTAAGATTATTGTCTGTGAGTAATCTTGAAAGTAGGAACGGGCGTTTGTATGAACAATTGAACGTTTGAAAGTTTCGTTATTCTTCTCATGTATTGAAGCTTCTGTTTTGATTGAATGTCTGTTTATTGAGTATTTCGTATCTGTAACTGGTAAGATTCGTTCAGTGAATTATTGTGCTACTCCGACTCTTTCGAATCATCAATCACTGAAACATAGAAGATAAATCCCTAAAGATTAATAGCTTCACGAATGTGAGAAACAGTTACTAAACGATAACGTCATCGAGAAGAATCTCTAAAATTTATTTAACTTAAACAAAATTACAAGTTTTTAAATTTTTTATCGGTCAGATTATCATCCTGGACCACTGTGCTACGTCTTATTATTAGAAATGTTCCTGACTCTCCTTTACGGGTGACGCTCCTTTAAACGTAGCACGTACCACCGTGCATCGCGTTGCTTAACCCTTTCGGTAATATGGGCGATATATTATACGCTCGCAGCGAAACGCTTTTCATATACTACGGACGCATACACATGAGCAACTGTCTTTATAACGTATGAAGTTTATACACTACATTGAAGTTTATTAAATACATGCAAGCTCATAAGCAAAGACTCCCGTTCAACGGTGTCTCGAATCGGCCTCAAATTCCGTCGTACAGAAAGGGTTAATTATCGACAAGTTATCACGTGCTTCCCTTGATCGACGCCATGAAGTCATATCTGCCGGTATAAACCATCCGTCTTTCTTTATAACTTTCGGTCAAACTTCAGGTCTGCCCGCACGGGGCCATTAAATCGGATCCGTGATGATTTTAATCGTTACCGAAATCGAACCTGGCCGATTTCCACACGAGGTCTCCATCAAACTCACTTGCCGCTCTTCTTTTCATTCTTTTTTATTATATTGACGGTTAAATACAGATGTTTTCTCCCGTACGGGCGATTGGGACGCGAGATCGTGAAAGGGAGAGAGGATTCAGGCCGTTAAACGAAACGATATTAAGAGGCTGAAGCAGATTTACGGCGTCGTGAACAATCGACGTGTATGTGGTTCCACGCGACAGTGGTGGGGGAGAGGAAGGGATATCGCTAAAAGCCACGGCCATTAGCACGTCCTTAATGAATCCCGTGTTTTATTCCCCCTCCGTCTCGCGGTTAATACCTCTTTTAATACTCCCGTATAGAAAGTTCTCGTCGTCCCCGTATCCACCCGTTTGTTTCATCCCAGGGATGGAACAGGATACGTCCCTGTCCGCTCGTTTCGCCTCGCGTCGAGGCGTCTCGGATGATCGAAACCGTTTAACGGCCGCGACAGGTGAGCAGGGTTGGAGAAACGGTGCTCGACTCCCCCTCCCCTGCCTCGCCTGTATTCATGCCGCGTACTTCCGTTTGTCCTGGATAAATTTCCGCGGTCTTATCGCGCGGAATAAAATATTCCCCCGTGTACCCGCGTTTTATCTCGCGAATAATCGTGTCGTTCCATACGTGTCGGCCGATAACGATCAGAATTATGCGTCTCCCCACACCCACCGGTTCAGAATGTACCACTTCATTCGATCTTTTGGACCTGTGTACAGGGTGCTTCATAAATGCATGTTAATACTTCAGGGGGTAAATCTGTACACTAATATAAGTACAAAACGTCATATCAACATACGTCCTGTATTACCTTAGTTTTGGAGTTATGGATGATTAAAGAAAATGTTCGAAGTGAACGATCCCAACCGATTACACTTTTACCTTTGAGGTCATTTAAGAACTATTGTGAATTCAACGTAGGTGAATAATGTGCACGATCTGCAAGAAAGGACATCAAATGGATTTGAGACTATACGTTGTTGTCCAAGGTAGAGCCGCGAGAGAATTCGCCGTGAATCACGTTCTAATCGACGTGAACTCGGTAGTTTTGTGTTGCCCTCCCTGGGTTTGCTCGCGTCGAACGAAAAAAAGTTCGAGGAAAGGCGTTTTCGAAATCCATGAGCTGGCTGGCCAGTTTGCGAAGGTCGCAAGAGAAAGTAAATGGTAGTCGGGTTGCACACGTTTTTATTACTATTTCCTTGGAGGCGACGCGCCGCCTCGGGTACTCTTCGTTACAATTCGCCCGTGGTCTCTCTCGCGGCAATACGCCGTCTACGCGCGCATACACTCGGCTATTACATATGTGGAACACGTTGTTACATACCGGTGACTATATTTAGAAGTTTCTCGAAAGCGAACGTTTTACCCACGGTGAACCGTTGACCACGAGGGAAAAACCTCGATGTACCGCGTTATCTGGTGGTAACACGCGTGTACACGTACACTCGCGAGGAAACTCGGCTTCTACTAGGGGAAAAGGTGACGTAGGAAAAGGGCCTCCCACCACTGCATACCACTTAGTATTGGGAATTATTGGAATTTATGCCAAATTAACATTTGGTTTGACTTCAATGACTGGGGAGGCTGATGAAACTTCAAGAGACATCCACGGTATACTATCCATTGATTCATCGGGAGACGTTGTCGGTTCTTTGCCTCGAGCGTAATTGCAGAACGATGACGTAAGAATGAGATGTAGTTGATTAGTTCGGATTCCGACTTTTCTGTTTAACGCAACGAATGACGCACACGTAACACGATCCCCCTGGTCTACGTGTTATATCTACGTCTAGTTTCTATAGAAAGTCCATGGTATCCATAACAAATGTACAATTTCTTACACCGTCCATCGAAGAAAAGATTCTTTTTCAGTCCGTTTCCGCGGTCAGCTTGACACGCGCGGCGATACAGTGGAGATATTGTTACTCTTCAATGGAGAAGATTGACTCTTGTTTTTCTTTTTTCTCGTCTGGTTCACTCTGATTAGCGTTAAACAACGTCGTCGTGTTACCACTGTTATTCCAAGACGAAAGATAATCAGGATGAAAACAGGACGAAGGAATCACCGACACGGCTCGAGAAAGGAAAAAAAGATACTCGGAGATGTACATACGAGAAAGGATCACTGGTAAGGTTCGCCTGGGTGTAGGCTGCATGTCACGGACCGTGTCACGCTGCAACCCGATGGAATCTGATAAGGTCCATCCAGTGGAATAAGGCAGTCTCCTTTTGTCGGCTCCTTTTTCATAACAATATCATCGCATGGGGGGAAACGGGTGGCCGAGCTTTTTGGCGAATATACTATTGGACAACGCGTATTATACCTATTCCAAGTTCGCCGTGGTTCGAGGGAACGGTCGAGGGACGAGTGACAGCGGCAGCCCGGCCATATCCGAGCAAAAATATGGACACAAGGTCGAACGGTCGGAGGAGGGCCGTTTTCCATAGGATTTACGAGGGGCGTTTTCCAAATTCTTTTCTCCGGTCTCGTTTGCAAATCAACGGTTCAACAAGGGCAGGGAGGACTGAAGGGGTCGCCTCTTTTAAATCATTTTGTCTAAGACCCTCGACGACAGACTTTCTCGATCTTTATCGCGTGTATTAGGCTCGTTCGGTCAGTAGTGAACAGTCGTCGTTCCCGATTGAACGCGATCACACGGACAGTGGTGTTTCGCGTGGTGGATATATCTCTTAACGGCGGCTGAAAGTGACACAACGCGATCATGGGGGCCGACTTTCGAAAAAGGTGATCTCGAATCTGTGTCACATGGTGTTGTTACATAGAGAATTTTAGGCACGCCTCGGCTCCGTGTTGCGTCAGCATCGTAGAGACATCGGCCACCTCGGGGCTACGCGTACAATTTCTATTTCGTCGGCCGTATTTTTCTAATTAGTCAACAGAACGGATCGATAACGGAGCGATCGACATAATTGTTCGTTCGACGAGTTCGCTAACAGATCGTACGGGGAATAATTTATGAGAGAGCACGGTTGCGCGAGAGACCCCGATCCAACGTCGTTCGTCATCGATGGAGGCTTCTGATCGGGACACGAAAGCCCATCATCCTTTTTGAAATACAAATACCGTCGTGGAAATATATCGAACGTTAACGTGTCTGTTCGATGGAAATCGCGATAACCCGTACGCTAGACGCGACGACACGTGATCTATTTTCGTGTTATTCGACGTTCCGTTTATTTTCGTAGATCGACGCGACAAGTCCAGCGCGCTTTGATCCATCGAGCTTTGTTTGTTTCTCTATTCCCCCGGCGAAAATTCCCGTACGTGGATGCGCACACGGTCGTTTGATGTTTCGTGAAAACTTCTTTCCTTCCACTCTCCTCGGGGGGGGGGGGGAAACTTCCGCACAGAGTGTCGTTTCTTTTCATCGTCTGTCCAAGTGTCTTTCCCTGTACACGCTAACCTCCGTTACGATCGTTTCACGCCTTTGTTTCACGCCCGTTGTTCTCTCGCCTCCACTCGCAACGCGCGCGGTTTTCATTCCGTTTACCGCCGGGCTCTATGGTCCTGCACCCGGGCTCACGACGAGGATATCCTGCGTTTCACGCACGCGGAGGCGATATGGATTCATCAGAGACGACACCTCGTACATGGCAGTATAACTAGGCGGAAAGTTCTTCTAACTTTACGTTTACGTTTCCCTTGGCAATACTCCTGCCCCGGCCACATGGAGCGCCGTTAACGGCGTTGCTTTAACGCAAGCTGGACGCGTCTCGGTGATTTTTTTTTCTCTTGCGATTTTCCCACGAACTTTTCCCGCATAGAATCCGAATGAAATCGCGACCCTCGTGATAATCTGTTCTATCTGTCGGGGATTTAGGCCGGCAAGATGGGAATATATTATTTTCCATGGATTAGAAAAGGGGTTTCCAATCGAGATGTAACCCTTGGAGGTTTTTTTCTTCCTTAAATTCAATCGAACATGTTATCATTTTACTGTTTCGAGGGAAATGGAAATCGACACGGAATATCTCGAAGCAATTCCACTAGTTTATTCTTTCTTTCGGAATGATAGCGATCTTGAAGAACAAACATCTTTCACAATTACGTACAGAACAATTACAGGATAATAATTGGTATTTATAATTCAAATTCACTCAACAATGTGGGAAACCAAAAAGAATTTGTTCGCTTCATAATTTAAATAACCTTTTAACTCTTTCTCATTCTATGTTCAATACTATAAGTGTTCAGTGACTTATTGACGGGAGCATTTGACCGTGAAGGTTTCAATTAACCGAACCCGATCGAGCGTGGCACCTCTTCCACCGAAGGACAGTGTAATTACCTGTGTCGAATTTAGCAAAACAATTTTTTTTTCACCTCGTAAACGTCATCCGAAGTCGGTTAATGTGCCCTCGAATCAGTCCGCAGTAGAAGGAACACGTGGGCCACGGGCGAGCAGTCTTCTCTGCTTCTGACACCTTTCTCGATAACGTTTAATCGTGCTGGGCGATCGGCCGCCAGGTGACAGGTGTCGCTCGGCGAATTTCGAGGATTTTTCGAGCCTGCTTTACGCGGTGTTACACACGAGTGGTCGAACCATGGGTGTGTGTGTTACGAGGTGGTTCGTTCACGGGACCTTAGTACTGGTGATTTATTGGGCCGAGTTTTGGCCAGCACGTGGCAACAGTCGCGCCGCCACCAGTCATTCACAACTGACCGGAGACCACAGCCTAAAGTTTCTTTTTTTTCCACGCGCCCGATCACCAAGAATTCTGTCTCTTTTCTTTTTATTCGCCTTCTTCTTTTATTTTTGCCAGCCTACGCTCGACGATCGTAGACCTTGTCTCGCTCTCTATTTTCTGTTCCGACACTCTCGCCGAGCGCGTTCGTAGCGTCATCGAACGCGATCGCCGCCGTTGCTTTTGACCCAGTTCGAGGCAACGAGTTTTTGGTAGTTCGCAGGGGAAACGGACGTCCCTGCACGGGCAGAAACGTTTGAGAACAGGTTTCCGGCATCTTTCTAACGCTCGTCGTTGACGGCGTTGACTTCTTCGTGGAGCGTTGATATTCGTCGTTTTGTGACACCTTTTAGTTAGAATATTGATGGATCGATCGGTGATACTATCGAGAGAAAATATATAGAATTCGGAATCCTCGATACTTATCAGAGTATTGTTGGATGACCAACCACCTAGCTCACTAATGGCATTAACTAATAAAAGCTAGTGTATCCGTAAAACAGACGAATCGGTAAGGGCGACTTGTCGACGCAGTGACTAAGGGTTGAGATCATCACCTGTCCATTAAATACGATGTACTTAAAAATATTGTCGCTCGAGTTCTTAACTCTTCTAACTCCGTTTTTCAAAAAACTGTAGTTAATCTGCGTACGTCCTATTGGCCCAAACAATATAAATTCACCAGAATATAAAAAAATTCAACCTAGAAATCAGCAAATATTTCTAATAATTCTTCATCTTGATAAGTACTCGAGAATGTTGATCTACACAGGGGATCTACCGCAGAGGGCAAAGCCGCGACGAACAAGCTAGATACTATTTCTATTTTATTCTAGCGTCTCTAAGAATACCGATAGCTCTTACCTTGATCGTTCTGTTTCCGTGTAACAACGTTCCGGAGGAAAAAAAAAACGTCGGTCCTCAGATACTCTCGAACTCCTCCAAGCAGACGGACACCCGCAGTTTCATTCCTGCGCGCGACGACTCGCGGTTCGCGCAGTGTGGACCGGTGGCAACGCGTTGATCGCGACAACAGCACCGCGGAAGAAATTAAAGCATTCCGCCGGCAACGAACTAGAATCTCGCAATTGAAATTCGCGCGTTGTCCACCGTCAGAGAGAGACCAAGAGCGTGAAACTATGCGGCCTGTAATCGCGACGGCGAATCAAAGGAATGAAAATCCTCGTCTGACGTCTATGTATCCGCTGCGTTTCCACCGAATTCGACTCATGGGGGGGAAAAAAAGATGTTCACGTGGGGAGCATTGATAACCAGAATTGATCGACGGGGCCCTCGCGTTTCGAAACGCGAACACCGTTTCGAGTACAACCGAACTGTGACTTCTCTTTCGAATTTCAACCGAACTGTGACTTCGTTTTCAAATTTCCACCGAACTGTGATTTCTTTTTCGAATTTCAATCGAACCGTGGACTCCGTCCGAACGCTGGAAACGACGCGGGTGAAATGAACCACGGCGTAAGAAGAAAGTGTTACTTTTTTTTGTTTGAAATTTTTCGAACGACCGTCCCGCCGCCGGTGGAGAACAACGTGAGACCGGCGGTCGACAGTGATCGTGGGCGCGCGCGGCCAGACTGAGAGTCCGCTCCGTTCGTCCTCTTTCCCTCAACGTCGAGCGTCGTCGCCGTCGGCGTCGTCGTCGTCGCCACCGCCGCTTCCATTCACAGGTCTCGTGTTCCACCGACGCGCTGCTGTCCAGGCGCATGGCGCATGAGCGCCACAGCCGCGAAAAATGTTTCGTAAAAGAGGGAGGCGCGCGGAATCGCGACCATTCTTTTCCTCGCCGTGTAATCGAGACCAGAGGCAATTTTTTCCTCCTTTAGCAAAATGGTCGTTATCGTCCATTTTGGAGGAGAATATTCTCGTTTACTGCCAGTCTCTTTTTGCTGTGTCTGCAAAGGACAATGCGATATCTTCCGAAATTATCCGCTTGTGAGAACTGTGCCGGTGATTGTGATAGTAGCTTGAGTCAATTAAAAAGTGATACGTTCAATTTGTGTAGATTTTTGGCTTAGACTAATTTCATAATCACCGACATAATTGGCAGTGAGTAAAAGTGATCTACACCTGGAGTAGTGAACTGCCTCTTTGTCTTCAGGTTATATTGGGAGAATATTTCGCGGCGACAGAGAAACAAGCAAGAAATACATACAGCCATATAAGTAGCATTGGGTTAAAGGATCTAACCCAATAAACGCCAAGTAGGAAATCCTAGGCTTTTGCGGTATCCATTAAGTGTAATTTAGTTGAAACCCAAAAGATAACGTGTTTCATTACGGACAAAGAGGAAGGAAGCTCCACTGGTTTTGCTATATCGCAATGTTATTACGTTATACTAACCGTAATCCGTATCGAAACGAAATTTTACGAACACTTACCCAAAGATCAGAGAAAAGCGGACATCACACTCGTACCACTTTTCCAGCGTCGTTGAGATTTGCGACGGTAGTGGAGTTGGCACGGCGAACCGTGATTCTGTCAGCTGCAAATAAGAGCATCCATTACTTCTTTCTTGCTCGTTCTTGACCATGCCCGGACGTTTACCAGACTGGATCCGCATAGAAAAGGAAAATCTCGTCGGTGAACGAATCTCATGTCGCCGGTAACCGAAAATCGAATTTGAGTGGAATTTTATTCGAATGATACATAGCTAAAAAGCAGTGTGGAAAATAGTCATTCTGGCCTTTAAACGGTTAATGAGATTAAATGATTGTTTGCCAAGTGTCTACTCATTTAACAAGATATATTTACTACGTTTAATTAATCGAAAAATGGCGGATATATATTTTTTTTTTATTTTCAATTCGTTATTGCAAACTGTCCATCGAATCCCACGGAAGATCCAGGATCTTTCAGTTTTCGTTCGACAGCACTTCGACAAAGTCCTCCAGGACGTTGATCCTACGTCGATGATTAGAGGCATCCTCGAAAGATCGACGCGGATTATGCTTTTTCGGTTGAAAGCTCGAATCGCCTCGGCCGTGCATTTTACCGCGCGTAAAAGGCTCCCCCTTTATCCGGACATCTACGCCAAATGAGGCGCGATAAAGGAATCATATCGTCGTGGAAATTTCACCATTCAGAAAGCGCCAAACCTTTTTTTTCTTTCGTTTCGCGTCGGGACAGAACGCTTTTGAATATCGATTTCGTACGTTCGCGGTATGCCTGAAGAATAACGGTAAAAATATGCCTGAAAATAGTGTATTAACCTGATTCAATACTCACTGAATAATGCATAAACCACCGTTTGAATTAATACATCGACGATCCCGTAATTTCTCAATCATACCGTCTACGTGCAGTTGGAAACTTCGTTTCCGTTTTAATTGCGTCGAGCGAAAAATGGTGGATCATAGAAACGCGTTCTTCCCTTTCCAGCCGGGAGCTAATGTACCGTGGCGTGGAATCGAAAATTTACAGGGTTATATATTCCCATTGAAATATGCACTCGGGTATACATATACATATATAGTTATTCATACGGTTTCCCGAAGCCTCGGAGGAAATGCAGCAGGAGAGAACCAGGGGGTCCATGGCGTAACGCGTGTGCGCCGGGGCGACAAACAAATCTTTCGTGTCTGGGGATTACACAGGTGAAATATTCTCTCTCCGGTACGTGTCCACATAATTTTAAAAGTCCGCCAAGTCCTAGCCCTAGAGCCGTCCACGGAGTAAATATGAAATTATATACCTACAGACGGTCTCCGATGAGCCGTTAACCATCGTTCGCCGTAAAAATAAGTCCAACGAGATCCACGTCCCGCGCGTCACGTTTGTCAAAAGGGTGCGCTCGAGTTTGCGAAATTGACAAAAGTTAAACGTACTTATCATCGATAATTAAAACCCTCATGCTCGATCAGCTCGTCGAGTAGTATTTTTTATTTTTCTCTGTTTCCTTTTTTTTTTTAATTTTCGACACGAACGGGGTTCCCTTCTGTAAACAAGGAGGTGGTCCCCGAAGGAACACAGTACGATCCGATCGGAGACTTTTCGGCCTACGTTCGCGTCGTGTCCGTGGTTCGTGACCACGAAAAACTTGTCATGGGCCCGTCGAGGATGAAAAAACTGATCGATGATCGAGCGCCGGGTGCCCCGGCTCGCTCTCACGCGTGTCACCAAGCTTCTCGATAGATCGTCCGCGGAGGAAGAGGGAGAGGGAGAAAGGCGGCGATATACGGGACTGAGAGAGGCGGATAACCCTCTTTTTTTCGCGTCGTCCGACGATTACGCCATTACGCAAGTGCGTAAGAACGCGCGGAACTCGCGCGTGACTTGCTTTGGAGAAAGGTGCTTCCACGTACGGGGGGAGAGAGAGGGAGAGAGAGAGAGAGAGAGAGAGAGAGGGAGACGAGCAAAACAGTTTTCGCGACACGTTCACGATGTATCACGGACGTTTCTTCGAATTGGACGGTAAGGCGATCCCCCCGCTCTGGGTAGGGGAAAACCGAGAGAAATTTTCAAATAGGAGAATCTCACCAGGAAAAAGCAACTACGATCGACCACCATCACGGAAGAAATAATATCGTTTCCTCTTGGTTCGAAGAAGAAACTCGCTGGTTACACCTACGGGTTTCATTTTTCACGCGAAAGTCATCGTTATTCTCTGTCTGATACCGCAAACAAAAAATAAACGAGAGACATTTTGAATTCTTTGCCGGGTGTAACGACGGTGTTAAATACACTGACTTTTATAATACTAGACTGCTAACATATACAAAATCTCCTCAAAAAGCATATACCAAAGTATCCATAAAAAATATATGTATACAGAAATCCATTGAAAAACTAATATCTATCACATTGCTTTTGCGGACGTGCAAAATAAAATACTTTAGTACATGCTTTTTGAGGACACTTTATATTTATAAGCGAAATTTGGAAAGTGAGGAGTCTATTACATAATATAGAAGTCTGTGACAGTGATGGGCAATCTTATTATCCAGATAAAGATTTTCAAATATCGGTAAAGTGTTTCGTTTTTTTCAATCGATTAAACGTGGAAATTGTAATTATTGTAATAAAATAACATTTCTTCTTAAACTGAGTAGGGAAGACCGGGGCTGATTGTAATAAAAAAAGTTTTCACAATTTTTTCTCAAAAGTGCTTTCCTCAATCAGGAAATAATTTTGTGTGACTTACTACTCACATCTTTGGTCAATTCATTGAGTGTAAATACGTGACAAAATCTTTGATACTTAGACATCTACGTTCATCTTAAACAAATCTGAACTTTTTCTTAAACAGTCTGAAATTGTAACGTTAGTTTTATTTAGTTAAAGAAAAAAAGAATACAAAGAAAAAAAGAAGTCAATCATCCGGCGGCCGTGAAAGTTTCCTCGAGATTAGCCGGAGGGCCCTTTCAGGGTCGATCGTGGCAGATCACGCGGTTAGCACGATAATCGCCCTTTGCGCCTCCCCAATTCGTCGTCGTTGTCGGTGCTGTCGACGAACGACACACACGCACGGTTTACCGACGATTTTTCTCTCAGAATGACGTCCTCGGATCGCGTGTCCATCATTATCGCTGTCGACCCAATTTTCCGCGCGGTTAATTAAATCTTTTTGCCTGAACCGCGCGATCGGAATCGGGCCGCGGGGTGGGACCGATCATTAAACGCTCGTTACGCCTTGTTTTCGCCCGCCGCACAAGAATACAAAAAGAATATAAATTCGCCTGAACGTGATTGCCCTGGCGTCCGTGTCTCGCGCGATCTCTGGTTAAATCGGTGACAATGCGACGACGATCGTTGTGACGTTTCTCCGGATCATTTGTTCTCTCCTGTGATTAAAAAGCGGTTCGTGTTCTGTTTTATACAGATTCTTTCTAACGGCGAACAGTTTGTTCTTTCGGAACTATGGACGATCAGGTTTTTCAATAATGTACTTTATAG